CTCTGCTCTAAGCTGTTTGCACAATTTTTTTATCACGTGGCATTTCACGGGCTGGAGCATCCTTCGAGGGCTGGGTGCCCACACGGCCGGTACCTGGTCCCTGTGCCCGGACCCCAGAGGAGGTTTGGGTCTAAAGGAGGAGGACTTGTTATCACCGGTCCCTTCCCGCAACATCTGAGAGTTGTGAAACGTTCACTCGAGGCCGGAGCAGTGAAGAAATTCAATGTCCCAGGTGGCTCCTGCGTGACCTTGGGGCAATCCGGGACGAGGTGTGCAAGGAGCGGGTTACGGGAGGCAAGGAGGGAGCGGGGACAGGGACAGGCGTGCAGGCGTCCCAGGCAAAGGGACGTCCAGGAAAGTGCCAGCATGTAAGCCACGGAAAGAGAAGAAGGGGAAACACTCAACTCCTGCCTCCGAGGCCGCCTGCTCATCTGAACCGTTGCGTTTCATACTTTTCCATTCGCACGTGAGAAAAACCAAAGCAACCGCTGCAGCGGTTTAGCGATGGAAGTGGAACATCCAAGGGAGATAAAGCGAATGATACGATTAGGAGGTTTATCTTCCTGGGGCACCGGGAGGTTCTTTCGAAACTGAATCGCAGTGTCTTTTTTCATGTTATTTCCCCACCCCACCCCCTTATGTTTTCTGAACAAACAAAACCCCGGGGATGCAAACAAGCAGCAGGATCGGGGTCTAAGGCACTTGTGTCCGACTGCCATAAAAAGGCGCTTCCCTTGTTAATGCCGCGATGTGTTTCAAATCAAGTTAGCGCGGTGCAGTAAACCGTGCCTCAGCTTGCTCTATTTGCAGCGGTCCTTTCGGTGCAACAAATGCTTTCTGATCCTCTTTCTGAACAGCTTTTTGCTGGCGAGGGACCGCTTCATCCCAGCGAGGATGCTGCAAATTATGGAGCACCATCTGCTGGCACCTTATTTATTCACTCGCTATTTACTTGTACGCGACACGGGACGTTCTTTTCCTAATTGACCCAGCTCTGCTTTGCTGAACAGCCGAACAACCCCTTTCCATCTGGTCTTGCTCATCACCGCAGCATCCCCGCACTGAGGCATCGCGGAGGCTTTTTGTGGGTGTTGTACAAGGGCAGTATCAAAAATATACGTAAAAGGTGGGATAAGAAAAACTGATGGGCAGCATGCGCTGGGCGAAATGTTGCTCGGCAGAAGACTAAGGCAAAATCTCCCACTGAGGGCAGGACTTCACCCATAAACCTCATCGTATTGGTGAGCTTGGAGCCTCAATTCATTAAGTTGGTGGTGTCCCTTCCCGACAGGTTTTGGGTCTTCATTGGCAGGATTCAGGACTCCAGTTGAAAAGGACATAAAGTCGTTTCCTCCCGTATAAATCACCTGAATATTTTAGCTCACTCCGAGGCCTGAAACAATGATTTCAGACTCAAGCTTGCTGCTTGGTAATTCTTCCTGGCAGCTGGCTCCGTCAATCTCCGGCACAGGCACGTAACTCAAGCCTCTGAGAAGTGCTGATTTACGGCTTCGGCTAGTAAATCAGCAGAAAATCATCGTAGCGCTCGCTAAGATTTTTCGAAGCGGAGCCTTCTCACATGCAAGGCGAAAGGTCCCGGGCCCCAGCGCAGCAGCCTTCACACACGTTTTGGGAGACAAACTACAGGCTGTTCTCACCCGTGTCCCAGGTCCCACAGGCAAGGCTCCCGCTGCCCCGGTGTCGCTGCAAAGGGGGTGTCCGAACCAAATCCCCGCGATGTGGGGGATGGAGATGCTGGGACATGAATGCAAGGGTGTTTTCTGCTGCGGAGGCAATTTGTGCGTGCGTTAAGCTGGCATTGCACGGCTCTGGGAGCGCGGAGTGGACGGATGCAATATTATTATAGGGATTGAAGCACGGGGTCTATGGTAGTGGCAGTCCTGAGGGCTGCCTCAAAGGCCAGGAGCATGTCCTCCAGAGGATGTGTAAATCCATGTGAGATCCAGCTCTTATTGCAGAGGAGGCAGAGGGTAACGATGCCCTTTAGGTGAATTAACTGAGTGTGTAATGTTATACGGGATGACGCTGGAGCAGTGTAAATGAGCCAGGGTCTGTGTTTCCCAGCATGTACGTCTCTCCTGTGCGCTGTTCTGCTGGCAGTATGGGAACGTGAAATTTTCATGACTTCAAAGCCCCTCTTCCAGTCTGGGCTGGGTGATACAAGCCAAAGTGCAGCCCTAATCCATCATCCAAAAAAGGCATGTTTGTATATTTGTGTAAAATGACAGATTGGAGAGACCCAGAGCTGGAAACCAGATGCTTTCCCAAGAAATTAAAAGGGCTAAGGATTTAGAAACGCAGGAACGCAGAAAGAGCCTGTGAAGAAAACGCCATCGCGGCTACTGTCTTTAAAAATACTAATCCTTGGCTTTCCGCGGGGCCATCGGGCTGGAAATGGCAGCATCTCCATGAGCATCACAGGCCACCTTTTATGGAGGAGACAAGGGAGATGAGACGACGTGACCAAGGTCACACAGTAAGGCAGTGCTGGAGTGGAAAGCGGCAGCCAGTCGTCCCTGCGGACTAGAGGAGGTTCTCCTTTTTCAGTCCCCAACTGTTTCACCATAAATGAGTAAGTCCTTAACGGGGCCAGTTAAGCCAGCGGGTTCAAAGAAGCTGCAGAAGTCAACATCTGCCATCATTTAGAGCTCACTGCCTTTCGAAACAAATATCCGTCAGTAAGGGTAAGATGTCTGACGAAAAAGTTTGTTTCTGTAAACAGTCTCTTCATCGCACAGTCCCACCGGTTCCTCCCCGGTCGAAAGTAAAAGGCAAAGGACAGAAGGGCTGAAACCCATCCCGAAGCCCTACCAAGCTGTGAAAGCACGTGGTGATTTTGTTCCTGGCTTGGATTTCATTTCTTTCCTTTTTTTTTTTTTTTTATTTTTTTTTAATTTAATTGTTTGGATTTGGTCATAAGCAGGAAAAGCTGATCTCATTACAGCTGAAAATCCCCCGTGAGAGCCAGAGCCGTGAGATCTGATGTCAGGCTCGGGCTGCGCAGGTGGAAAGGAAATCTCACGCGTGAGCCCAGAAAGGTGGGCAGTTCCTGCTGTCCTCCAGCATCTCGTGGGCCCCAGCCAAAGTCCTTCGTACCCTCTGTTGAAAGCTACCCGAGGTGGATTCAAATCCATCTGTGCATTTCTGCAGGGCCTTGACGGACCTCAACCAGCCCCTGGGAGGAGAGGTGTCTCCCCACCCCAGTCCCATCTGCACGGGGCACGTTAGGAAAAGGCACTTCCATCACTCATTCAGCAAAGGATGCCGCTTCGGCCATTGCTAGGGACACGTTCCCGGTGGGGTGGCGACTGAGGGCCAGGCGGGGTGTTAACAGTTTGACAAAGCTGCTAAAAACGCGCACGGGAGGCTGGCACACAGGCCGAGTCTATAAAAATAAAGATCAGTCCCCAGGTGCTATCCAGCAACGGGGGAAATTGCTTTTTTCAGGGTGTTTTGGAAGCGCTGGGAAGCTTCTCAGCCATCGAGATGGGATCAGCTGCCGGCTCCCGGGCCCTGCCGGTCCACGGGCGCTGGAAAACGGGCAGGATTTGTTGCGCTGCCTCGTGCTGTGCACGTAAGAAGGGGTTTCTGCACTGCCGTGCCCAGTGGCGAAGCATTCCCTGTACAGCACAGGCTCTGGCTGTCGTTCCCAAAAGCCCATGCAAAGAATCCTGTTTCATTTTATACGCTGCGATTAGCCACGTGTACAAGGGGGTTGACCACTGGTATGCGTGGCAATGCCAGAAGTAAATGAAACTCCTCCCCGGGGAGAAGGGTCAATTGCTTTTGGCTGCAAAATTTGCGAAATTTTCATTATTTTTTCCAAAATGCCTCCTTGGAAAATGCCTCTGCATTTTGATTCAAAGAAAAATAAGCCCACGCTTTTGATTGTGCAAGGGGAAAAAAAAAAAAGAATAATTTATATTTTTGAAAGCTGGATAATTTTAGCCAAAGATGGGGAACAGCATTTGAATAGGATCCATGGCCATTGGAAAGCCTTAAGAGAGTTTTGAAGACTCTGCTGACAAGGGAGTATTAGCCTGTTGACACCTTTCAGATGCAATGAGTTGAGCTCACAGCTACAATACAAATAAGCAGTAGGGAGGATGACAGGCAAGCCCTTGCAGCGATAGGTGCTGTGAAAGACCATCCCTGTACTAAACCGCTCGTGCGCTGGGATCTGGGGTGCTTCTGCCTTACCCTGAGCTTGCAGACTGCCGAAAATAAAGGTCGGAAGAAAGTGACGGTGGGGAAAAAGAGCATAAAAGATAAAAGGACAGAGAGAAACACTGGTTTTTACAATTTAATTTCCTTCTTTGAGTGGGAGCTGCTTTAATAATATGCGCAAGCAGTGAATAGTACTTTAAAATATTCCCAGAGAATGAATAATATGTAATAATATTCACAGAGCATTTATTTGACTAATTTCCCCCAGTGTTTTTGGACCAAGATCTAACAGCCCTGGATCTTAAAGGGGAGATCTGCGTTTGACTTCCTTGGGTCTGGATCAGGCCCCAAGCACCTAACGAACCCGTGTTCAAGCGAGCATCACCAAAGGGTCAACCAATATACCTCCACTAAATGGTTGGGTCACTTCTCCCTGCTGATCCGCAAATAAATTATCTGCCAATAAATGGAACCAGAAGTGGCTTGGCCAGATGTTCTACTGGGGCCCCAGGGAGTCGTGGTGCAGAAAG